GCCCAAGAGGGCCCAAAATCGATCTAGAGAAACCCCCAAGGCGGCTTCCGACAGCATCAGACGGGTCAGGAACGCCCTGAGAAGGCAAAGAAGGCTCCCAAGAAGCCCCCTAGGGCCCCCAAGGGCCCCAGGGAGACGCCGCCAGGAATCTCCCAGGATGCCCTCCCCAAAGGCCTCCTCCTCCTCCTGCTCCTCCTCCCTCTCCTCATCCTCCGCCTCATGCAAGTCCAAGCGTTCCCCGAAGGCTTTCCACAGCAGCTCGGAAAACCCATGATCCGATAGCTCGGCGAATCTCAAAAGGCAGGGGGCGGCGGTGATTCGCCGTAGGCGTCTTCGATCCGTCGCCCCCTGTTGGCTTGCCACAGGGGTGCGTGGCGTGTCAGATTATTTTGGATTGGGTTGACACCTTTTTGAACATTCCCAAGGGCCTTTGGCCCACCCCGCCGGCCACCCGGAAAGGCGCATAGAACGTCTCTCCCGTCGATGTTCCGCCCCGTAAGGGCCCATCAACTTCTCAGGTCGCCGGTCGTCCCGCTCCAGAGGCCCCAAGATGGCCTTCAAGACGGCCAAGCTGGTCTCCAAGACGACTACGATGGCCTCAAGATGTCCCCAAGACTGGCAGAGAGGCCCCCAAGAATGGCCACAACATCGCCCACGACCGCCCAAGAGGCCTCCAAGACGGCCCAAGAGGCCTCCAGGAAGGTCCGAAGAGGCCAAAGCATTGATTGTCCAATGGTTTTTGAAAAGGTCCCCATCGGTTTTTGAAGGATTCTAGTGGATTTGAGCGGTTGCGTATTTTCGTTTTTCCGACGGCCTACGACGGCTCAGAGGCCACCAAGATGGCCCCAAGAGAGCCAAAGAGGCCTCCGAGATTGCCTCCTGACGGCCCAAGAGGCCCCCAACGGCCCTGAAGCGCGCCAAGAGCGCCCAAAGAAGTCGGCCCAGAGAGGACCCCAAGACGGCCCCAAGACGGCTTCCGACGGGCCAGATACGCCCTCAGAAGGCCAAAGAGCCTCCAATGCAACCCCAAAGGACCCAAGGAATCTCCCAAGAGACGTCATAAGAGGCCTCCAGGAAGCCCCCACGATACCCCAAGAGTGCCCTAAGAGGCTCCGAAGAAGGCCTCCTCCTCCTCCTCCTCCCCCTTCTCCTCACTTTGCCCCTCTCTGTCTTTCCTCCTCTTTTTCTCTAGTCCACACGTGTTTCCAAAAGGGGGCTTAAGAGACAGGACAGCGGACGAGCAGAACGCCTGGAACGCGCCCAGAGCAGGCGGAGCTGAGCCATCGGGCCTCAGTCCAAGCTCGCCGTCGCGACAGAACTCGGAGCCGAACTCGGCGCTACGCGCGTCGTCCCGAGCAGACGCGACAGGGACAGTTCCTGATTGCCGCACTTTGCCTCGGGTGTCGAAGCCTCGGTGTGATCGTCCTCTCCCAGCAGACCTCCGACGGCAAACCCGGCCTTCCCGAGGTGCTTGGCGTAGAAGTTCAGGTAAGGGACGCCCCTCGCCGTGCGCCCGTGGGCGACCTTGAGCTCCAGCGGGCCGAACTTCGCCCACCCCGCGCCCGCCTCGCGCGCCGTCCTGGCATCGAAGGTGCGGCCGCCGGCGTGCGCCTCGTCCGCCCACGCCCCGGTGATGTTCAGCCTCTGGAAGTACATGTCCGCGCACTGCTCGCCCATTCGGCGCACCTCGGCCTGCACGACGAGCAGCGCGGAGTCCACAGGTTTTCCACGTGGGATACTGATGAGCAACACTTTGCCCTGCCGCATCAGGTCAAATCGCTCACCGTAGACGTTCGTCAAATGCGGATCGCCAGACGCGGAAACTGTCGGAATCGGCGTGGGGCTGGTGTCAGTCGGCGAAGGCGTCGGGCTGAGCGTCGGGGACGAGGTCGGGCTGCTTGTCGGGCTGCTCGTCGGACTGGGCGTCGGGGACGGCGTGGGGAAGGCCGTCGGGAGAGGCGTCACGCCAGCCTGGCAGCAGTAAGGATACCACAAAGTGCACGTCAGGTCGTTCCAGGTATAACCCATGTGACTGGGATACATTACCACGCAGTCTTCGTCGCCGGCTTGATTCGGCTCGCCAGGGTACCAGTTCGAGTAACTGATTGAGCCTCCGTTCGTCCAATACTGAAAATGTCCCTCAGTATCCGCCGACCACGTGGGGTCTCTAGACGCGTGAGGCTCTTCCCCCCCCATGATCCCCCCCCCCCCCCCCCGGGACCCCAAAGCAGGAATTTGACACCCCACCCCTGGGCCTACGCCGACCCCTGGCCGAACTCACCACGGGGGACCCGTATCTCTCCGGGCTCCATGTGGAGGAGCTCCAGAACAGCCTCTGAGGCCTCCCTAGAGGCCCCCCAAACGGGCCAAAAGGGTCCCAAGTCTCCGAAGGATCGCTCCGAAACGCCCAAGATGGCCTCCAGACGGCCCAAGATGCCTCCAAGACGCCCTGCGAGGCCTCCAAGAGCCCCACCAAAAGGGCCCCCCAAAACAAACATCGTCCCATCCCCTCCGGAAAACGGATACTGTTCCATATTCGCCGCCGCTAGAGTTCTCACTACGTCCAAGACAGCCCAAGAGGCCCCCAAGAGGGTTCCAAGAGAGGGTCCATAACGGGGAGGAGCCCGAACAGAAATCTCGAGCCTTCGGCACCAAGACGCCTTTAGGTTACCCGAGGAAATAGACGCTTCAAGTAGCCCCACGGGTACCCCAAGAAGGTCCCCCAAAGCCGCCAAGAGCCCCCCTAGAGGCCCCCAAGAGGTGCAAAAACTGACGCTCCCAAGAGGCTTCACACGAGACCCCGTCAACCATCCGACTCCTCAGACCCACAACCCAGGCAAGGTGGCCGGATGGGCCGAAGGCCGTTCGATCCGCCGCCCCCTGTTGATTCATCACAAGGGTGCCTGGCGTGCTGAATCCTTTCGCTTTTGGTTTTGGTTTTTTTCCCACAACAACTCCCCGTGGGGTTTCGGCCCCGCCCGCCGGGGTCCCGGAACGACCCAGAAACAGTGGTTCCAAAAGTTTGTCCTGCTCCTGATGGCTCCAGGGTTGCTGTCAAAATGGCCTAGATGGCCTTCAGGTTCGCCCAAGACGGTCCAAGATGACATCCAAGACGGCCCAGGAGTCCAAGATGCTTCCAAGTTCGCACAAGAAACCTCTCAGACGGCCCAAGACGGCCCCAGAGGCCTCCAAGAGGCCTCCAACACGGCCCAAGAACCCTCCAAGAGGTCCTCCACGAGAGCCCGCGGAGGCCAAAATCAATGTTGCCCTTAGGTTTTGGAAAGATTTGGGGCTTTTGTTCTTTTCGAACCGTCCGGCGGCTCACGACGGCCCAAGGAGCCGCCCGAAAAATCGCCCCCACAGCGCCCAAGAGGCCTCCAATCTGGCCATATGACGGCCCAGGAGGCCCCCAAGACAGCCCCAAGAGGCCGCCAAGACAATTCCAGAGGCCTCCAGGACGCCCAAGGGGCCCCCCAAAAGGCAAAGATGGCTTCCAAAATGCTTCCCACGCGGAGGGATAAGCTTCGAGAAATTTGAAGTTGGTCGGGAGGCCCAACCAGGGGTTTCGCCTAAGGCGAAGCCCGTATCCAACCCTGTTATACCGTCGTACAGACAGTCCCAAAAGCAGGAGGGAATCGCGGAAACGACTTGCAGGCTGATAGCTCCTCCCCAAATGGCTCAGAGGATCTCGCCTGGTCAGCCCTATAGGAAGTATGTCGTTTTATGTCGTGCTTGAAGGATCGCGATCCTCCCATGACTTGTAGGAGCATTTCTCTGTCGGTGTTCCCTTTGGTGTGACCATCCGCAGTCATATCGCGAGTGCCACACCACTGCGCACAATGTTTGATAACTCGTTCCATCGTTAGTCATATCAAATTGATGCGTCCCAAAACTGCACATTCAGTCGGCTTTGCTTGGCTAGGACTTGAAGACATATGCTGCACCGATGGCCAAGGTGAACTAAGAGCCCAGGCCACCCATCTCAAGTATATGACTTACCCTTGGTTTTCAGCGGGGAACTGTTCTCTCTACTACGCTCGCTGGTCAAAGCGACTCGGGTCCGAGGCTGGAGAGGCGGGTGCCTCAACTCGCCTCTCCTTGAAACCACATCCTGGCAGAAGCGAAGCGAGAAAGGAGGGCGAGCCAGGCGGCCCGGAAAGGAGGGAAGCCAGGATGACTTCGGAGCAACGGCAACATGGATCGATGAGACCGACACACCAAACCCCGCTAAGTCATTACTGCGCACACACCCCCAGGATTTACCCTTGGTTTTCAGCGGGGAACTGTTCTCTCTACTATGCTCACTGGTCAAAGCGACTCGGATCCGAGGCTGGAGAGGCGGGTGCCTCAACTCGCCTCTCCTTGAAACCACATCCTGGCAGAAACGAAGCGAGAAGGGAGGGCGAGCCAGGCGGCTCGGAAGGGCGGGGAGCCAGGATGACTTCGGAGCAACGGCAACATGGATCGATGAGACCGACACCCCAAGCCCCCGCTAAGACATTACTGCGCACGCACCCCCATGACTTACCCGTGGTTTTCAGCGGGGAACGGTGCTCTCTACTGTGCTCGCTGGCCAAAGCGACTCGGGTCCGAGGCTGGAGAGGCGGGTGCCTCAACTCGCCTCTCCTTGAAACCACACCCAAGTCACATTCCCAAAACAGAAGCTGTTCTCACACCGCGAGGCATCGCCCCCGCAGGGCGCTCAAAACCGTGGAAACGACGGCTTTATGGAAGCTCGGCGGGGCGGGGTCTGGAGACGTGTTTCTTGTGGCCGTCCCGGGCCCTGACGCCAGGGCATTGTAACTCTAGACGGTTAGCGCCCCTATGCGCAATGTTACTGACAAGCGTAGCGACGCTCAGCCTAGAAGTCCCCTTGTATCTACACATATGAGAAAGGACAGGAGTGAAAGGGAGCATAAAGAGGCGGGCGGCGGCTGTCTCACTCACAGACTGGTAGCAATTGGCCGCCAAGGGAAGCCCCAAAGTCTTCGCGCACGACACTAAGCGAACGAGTCCTCGAGCGATGGGCAGTTCGTGCAGGGAGACTAGGGCTCCGCCGATACTCCCCCTTCCCATGTCAGATCTGAGCCCGAACGAAAGAAAGTCTGACACATCGCAACCTTCGGTATATCGAACGAGAAAGCCAACGGCCACGACATGCGCAGGAGCGCTAAAAGCATGGCCCACGACCAAGACAAAAAGGCGCCTCTCATTCATCGGGAATGTAAAGCGGGCTTTGGCAGCACGCGGCCGTGCACCAAAATCTCCACAAACTGCTCCTCGCGCTGCGCTGCGTGCTGCCGTAGCCAGCTCGGGCGGACCATCCGCGTCGAGCTCGACCTCGCGCCCTTCTCGTATCGCACCACCGAGCGGTCTGACTTCCAGCCGCCCCGCTTTTTGACCTCCGCCAGCGTGCGCCGACGCGAGGCCATGTCCGCGCTGGCGCCACTGCGCCTGGCCTGGTACACCGCCAGGTTGAAACCCAGGTCGCGGGCGACTTTCTGCACAGCAGCCGCCAGCTGGGGATAGCTGAAGATCCAGGCCCGCTCCCCAGGAGGTCGGGATCGAAGAGCCTGGGGCAGTCGCGGACCAACGCGATCGTCACGTCGAACTCCTTCGCCTTGGAGGGCACCCCGTCGACCTCTGGGTTCAACTGAACGGTCCAATAAGTGGCCACTCGGCTGGGGGCGTACATGCACTCGGGCTTGAGCACCATCAACTGGATAGGGCGCGCGCACGTGCTCCACATGAGACAGATGAACAAGGCCATGTCGCATCGCCCCATGCCGCACAGCCCGTTCACGATGGCACGCCAAATGGGCCACGCTTCGGGCAGACGGGAGGTCGAGGGACACAAGTTCTGCCATCCCTTCAGCGCCCTCCAGCTGCGACGCAACGTGCGTGGGCCTTGCCTCCCCGCCTTCGGCCGAGCGTGGACCACCCCAGCCAACAGCTTCATGCCGCGAGCTGCCGTCACTCCCGACTTGATCTGGCGATCGATGTGCTGGACCAGCAGGTCGTCCAGATCCTCGATCGAGATCTCCGTCGCGCGCGCGACGCCACAGAACAGGCTGAACTGGTGCACCTCCTGGGCATACTGGGCCTCGGTCCGAGGCCTCACCGCCGCGTGCTCTCCGAGCGTCAAGTGGGAGAGTTCTGGAAGCGCCTCGGACGCCAGCAGCTTCGTCAGCGCGTCCTTCCTGCCGCGGGGGAGCGCCCGCTGCCGCGCGGCAGCCGTGGCCTCGCCCTCGCGGTCCGAGCTCGACGCCTCTCTGGAGCGCGGATCAGTCCTGATCAACCCATTCAGCTGCTCCAGGATAAGTCTCACCTCGGAGTCCGCAAGGCCAGACTCGCAAGCGCTGCGGGCCAGATCGGCGACCCCCAACTCGCCCTCCGCCTTGAGGACACGGGCAGTGCTCTGCAGCGATGCGGACGGCCCCAGCAAACTCTCCAGTCGGCGCTTCCTGGCCGGCGCAGCTGCCGGCAGCACTTCGGGCCGCGACGAGGCTAGGACCCGAACTCTGGCGGTGCATATAGACAGGGGCGGTAGCATGCGAAGTGGCGTGAGCCGAAATGCCTACGGAGGGGCCCTTGTCTTCACCAGGGGGCTCCAGCTTGGGGGCCCACTGCAACGCATCATTCTCAGGATGCCCTAGGCCTTGCCAAAGACGTCTCGGGAGGCTGCACATGCAAACGGCCAAAAGACGAACCCATCGGGTCACAAGGTTCCTCCGCCTCACCAGGGCCCTGGACAACGTCATGGGGGCGCGCTCATGGGGGCGGGGGCGGTCAGCATCGTCTCTCTTAGGGACTACCGAATTCGACCGTAAATCAAACAGGCGAGAGGCAGCGTCGGCCGGATTCCTCTCGGACGGAATCCAGCGCACAGAGAGATGCATGCTACGATTGAGACACCACGCCGCCATCCTGCGCAAGACCACGAGGAATTTGAAACTCCGACATCGCCACCTCCCTGCGGCCAAAACGAGGCCTAGGTTGCGGGCAAAGAGAAGCTGGCAAATGTTGCGACTGTGCCTGGCGCGACTCACTCGCTCCAGCCCGCGCAGCATGCCGCGAGCCTCCAGGGCCATGATGTCCTCTGGCTGCTCGAACTTCCAGCCGCCGACAACCGTCCAAGCGGCGCGATCGGTCATGCAGCTGGGGACCTCGGCAAAGTGCGGATCAGGCTGGAGGTCTGCGCAGCCCTCTACGTCAAGGGGCTCGCAGGGGGGCGGCTCGGCCCCGAGCGCCGCCGCGCGAGCTCCGACGCGCCCCTCTGCGGGGTAGCGGTCGCGCTCTCGGCAGCGGCCCACGGCGGCGACGTCCTCGGCGGCGAACCAGCGCGTGCAGATGCCGTAGCCCGTCTCCGAAGCGTCGGTGGCCACGACGAGAGGGTTCCAGTCCGACCCCCAACTAAAGACCAGGAGAACCACCAGGCCCGCCGCGCAGCTCGTCGGAGACGGAGGGCCAGAGGGGCGCGGGCTGGTCGTAGTGCCGCTTGATGAGCGGGTAGACCGTCGCGAACACCGACAACGTCTCGCGCCTCACCAGCCCGCAGAAGGTGGCATGCCCAAGGACGATCTCCACTTGACGCCCAGTGGCGCGGCGGCGCCCCGCCAAGGCCAGCAAGGCACCTCTGACGCGCCAGAAACGCGTGGCCGTCAGCCTCGCGTGCCGCCGCCGCCCGTCGAGGAGCACCCCCAGCGCCTCGACGCCCGAGCCGGAGGTCGCCACCCCGTGCACGGCGAGGCCCCTCGCCTCGAAGGCCGCGCAGACGTCCTCCAACTTCGATGCAACCACGCTGCCGTCTGACCCGAAGACACCGATGTTGTCGACGTAGATGTAGTGCCTGGTGTCCGAAGCGGCCTCGCCCCGCAGCGCGAGGACCAGAGGCTGGCCCCGATCGCGAAGCAGCTCGGCACGACTCAGCACCTGGCTGGCCACCTCCTCGTCGACGTCCTGCGCCAGGGCCAGGCTCCACGAGAAGCCCATGGGCAGACACCGAGGCATCGGCGTCACCATCCCGTCGGGCCCGACTGGGCCATCCAGAGTATCCGTCAGCCCCGCATCGGCAGCGCGGACGGGGGGCAAGCCGAACCAGCGAGAGCCAGGTCGGGATGTCCATCTGATGAAAAGCATCCTGGACGTCAGCAGTGCCGCAAACAAGCGAAGCATATTCTTGACCGTCGGGGAGCTCAGCCTCGATCCGACCGAGACCTTCGGCCGTCAACAAATCGACGCGAGGCGGCGGCGCAAACCGCCTGTTGGCCCGCCGCGCGTCGAGGATGAGGCGGGGCTTGCCGTTCTTCTTGCGATGAAAAAAATCAGTGCGCTCATGAACCCATCCGCCGAAGACCAACATGTTCCTGGCCTTGAGGTCACGGATGAAACGGGTGTAGAGCGTGGGGCTGCTGGCGAGCTGTTGGTTAACAGAGCAGCGCTCAGCAACATCATCAACACTGTCGCTGAAGGTCGGATCCAGCATGCGCTCTCCTGCGCCCTGCAGAAAGTACCGGCCGCGGTCCCCAATTAAGTCCGAGACACTCGGGACGCCGGTCCTCTTCTCGGGCAAAGAGACCCGACCGCGCTGGCACGGCGCGAGCGTAGTCGAGGAAGCGTCCATCCTGTAGCCAGACGCCTTCTCACAGAGCAACCCCCGAAGGGCCACTTCTGGCGGCTTGTAGAACTCCCGAGCCCCCTCGCGCACCTGAAGCTCCGCGAGCGACTCCAAGCATGCCAGGCTCTCATCCAGCTGAGTGGGGCCTCCCGACGGGAGGCGTCACATCCGCTGCGGACGGGATCTGGGCGGCCTCGAACCACCGCGGGGCTGCGGGGGCCAATCTTTGCAAGCCAATTAAGTGCATTGGAAGATGCCTCGACCAACTGACGTACGGGATCGCGAGCACGGTAGCGCCCACGGCGGCGGCCGCCGCCAGCAGGTGCAGCTCCACGCCGAGGAAGAGCCAGCGGAAACTTCTCAAAGGGGCGAGGGCGGCCAGGCGCTCGAAAATTCCCCACCTTCAGCGGGCTGTGGCGTGGAGGGCCTGTCAACAGCCCGTCATCCTGGTCAACCATCCTTCGGGGCCGCGGAGCCTCTGCCGCCCCGCCAGCCCCGACCTGCATCACCGCCGCCTCCGCGGCCTCGTCCGCCGTCGGCGGCGCCCTGGCCGCCCCCCGCGTCAGCGCCCTCTGCCGCAGACCGCAGCTGGCGCGTCCGAGTACTCTCGATCTCCGCCTGGTCCTTCAGCTTGTTCACCCCCCACTTCCGCAGGGCGGGGACAATGGCGTCGCCGCAGCTCGCCTCGCCCTCGTACACGGCGGCCATGCGCCAGGACGGCGCCCCGCCGCCCATGGAGTAGGCGTCTATCACGCCCAGCATGCGCCGCACCATCTTCTCAATGCCCGCAGACGCGCCCAAGTTCAGCTGGTCGCACTCGCCGAATAACTTGAAGCTCTCCGTCAACGTAATCATCCCATGGTAGACGCGATCCGTCTTGAAGATGCTATTGCTGCGCGAGAACTCCTGCCACCAGCGCCGCGGATCACCGCCGTATTGCTCGACGTGGCGGGCAAGGTGAAGCGCGCCTGGTGGGCCCTGCACCTCCGCGGCGGAGATGGGCTCCTCCATGCTCTCATGCGCCGCCTTCTTCCAGCTCTTGTACCTCTCTCCCACCTCGCCGTAGTCGACCCACAACGTTAGGACGTCCTCGCCCGGAGGGGCCAGCTCAGCAGCGCGTGGAGCAGCCAGGGCGGCGGACCCAGCAACGTCAGAGAGCCGCTTCGCACCGTGCCCTCAGCGCCCTCGCGAACCCCGCGCAGTCGCGGTGCGGGACCGCCTGGACACGGAGGAAGCTGCTGCGCCTGTAGACCACGCCGTCCGCCGTCGTGACGACCACGTCGCCAGCGCGAGGGATGACCTCCATGCCCAGCGTCTCGTGGCCATCGGCGTTCTCGGTCACCAACCAGACCAAACCCTCACGGTGGGCTGGGCGCTCGGGCAGCACGGCCAAGTAGGGCGCCACGGCCCCGCCTGCGCCAGGACTGACATCACCGCCAGGCGGCGCCGCCTCGGGGGGCAGGGGCATTTCGGGAGCAGCGGCCCCGTCGTCAACAACGACCGCCCCCGCGCCGCCGCCCCCCACGCCAGCGGCGCCTCCTCTGCGGAGCCGTCGCCCGACGTCCGACAAAGGGGCCAGGACGCCGTCCTCGGTCACGAAGTCCAGCAAGGCAGGAGGCCCCTGTCCCGCGGACCGCGCGCATCCTAGCTACGGTTTGCTGGGCCTCGCGGCGGACACGGTCATCGCTGGGATAAGCGCCGCCTGCAAACCTGTGGAACCTGCCGCGCAGGGCGCGAGGACAGGAGCCAGCCAAGTCGAGCATGACCAGCCGCTCGCCCTCGCCCGCCTCCATGGAGATGTCCTCCTCATATAAATCCCCATCTGGTGTCAGGGTCCACCAATTGGCGACGACCCCCGCAGCATCGCGAAGCCCAGGGCCCATCACAACTCTCTCATGCCAGAGGTCCTCGCCAGGGTACCCGATGGCCACGATCCGCCCTGGGAACAAACTACTCGACAACTCCTGCACCGAAAGCGGCCTTCCTGTCCCCGGGCCGTCCTCGACGAGACGCCACCAGCGCCATGGCGCCAAGCGCAAGCCCAGCGCCAGCCGCAGTAGAGCCCGAGGATGCAGGACTGCCAAGCACAGATCGAAACAGTCGCGATGAAGACGAGGCGGGCGCCCCGCTCCACCGAGTCGCAGGTCAGCTCGCACACGCAGCTCTCGGACCGTGCCCGTCGAATGATGTCCTCGACCACGCCGAGGTTCAGAGAGGACTCGGGACAAGACCTCCACCTTCGCAGCAGGCGCAGGCGGCGGCTCCCGCACGCAAGGGGCCTCGGGCCCGAGAGACCCGCGGCTCCAATGGCGCTCGGCGGCGCCTCGCAGGATGATAGTCAGCGTGGCTAGTACGACCCCGATCACCGACTGCATTCGGTGCCAGAACCCTTCGAGCCAGGATGACTTCGGAGCAATGGCAGCATGGATGGATGAGACCGACACCCCGAACCACGCTAAATCATTACTGTGCATGCACCCCCATCCTTAAGTTGAGTGGGCGTCAGCGGCCCTGCGTGGAGCCCGCGCAGAGTGACGATCATGGGATAGCAATCCTCCGAAAGGCGGGCTGCTGCAACTATTTCCGCCGAGTAGCTCGAGCGGACCTGCGAGCGATGAGACCTGAAGTGCGCGCCGACAAGATGGACGACGGGCTCGCCAGCAAGCGTGCGTCCACGCCTTAGCAGGTTGGCCCCGCGAATGCCATTGCCTGCGACTTCGCCATCGGCATCTCCATTCAGACGCCGGTGGCCAGAGCCGCTCTGAGGGTCAACCTCGCCCGTTGACGCCGTCGCTTGATAGGCGATCTTCTCAGGGCAGGCCTGCGACTTCCCGGCAATCGCGCCCCGTCGTCGCACTTGCATGTTGGTCGGTTCTTGGGCGCGCTGCACCGATGCAACGCATGCCTTTGACCACGCTTGCGCGACAAGGGCGCGAGCCAATGCGCCTCTGAGGCTGACAAACATGTCAGTGACCATCTTCGGCGCCTTGGCCTCGGCATCTGCCCGCGTGAATTCGCGATGCTGGATGAGACGGAGCTGTTTTGTATTCATCGGGGTCAAGAGAAGCATTGTCGTCGCTGTCCATCGCATATCTCACGGCGAATTTGGTCCATGCGTGTTTGTGCAGCTTACATTTCCCCCAAAAAAATCATCAGAGCACTGGGTCGACGCACTTGTCAATGGTGTCCTCGGTACCGGCCATGTCTATGTCATCGACTTGCCTGGCAGATATAAGGTTGGAGCTTGCCTCGAACTCCTCGCCGCAGGGCGTGGGTTCAAGACCAAAACCCCCTGTGGCCCCTGGAGAGACACGGACCTGCGCACATCTCTGGATAAGGGTGATCCTGGCCCAGGGGCCCTCCCCTAAGGTTGGTTTGGTCTCCTCTCGTGGTGGTTTAGGGGTGGTCGTCGTGGTTTAAGGCAGCGGGCGCCCCATGTGTCGTCGTTTTAGGCAGCGGGCGCTCGATGCATGCACAGTCGCGCGCCCTTCGCGCAGCCGTTTTCGTTTCGGTAATTGGTTACAGTGGTTCTAAGGGTGCAACTACTTGCGTTATTGATTATGCTACGCGTCGTTGATGTGATTGATTATTGTCTAGGTGCGTTGGTCTTCGTTTAGGTTGGTAGCCGCTTGGGTCGTCTGTTGCTGGTTCACCCGCGCACGCGATTGGTTATTGGTTGACCCGCCATCGGGTGTTGGGTGGTGGTCCTTTGATGCATTGATCGCTTGGGTTATCGGCTAGTGGCGCTCTCCCGCTTTAGCTTGCGTGATTGGTTATTTGGGTTAGCGGTTGGTCGGGTTATTGGTTATTGGTTATTGTTTGTCCGGAAGATTGTTTGTCATGCCGTTGGTGATTGGTGTAGGTTATTGATTGTATGGGCTATTGGTTGTGTTGGACGTTGGTTGTGGCTGGTTGTTTGGCTCATCGCTCAATGGGCGCATCTGGGGCCCGAGCACGCGGCGAAGGGAGGAGGGGGGGAGGGCGCGGAGGGGGGGGGGGGGGGGGGGCCTGCTAGTGAGCATCGAAGCGGAAGCGGAGGAGGACGAGGATGAGGAAGAGGAGAAGAGGGAGGAGCATGATGACGCTTCGGGGTAGGAGGGCGAGGAGCATGATGACGAGGGTGGGCGGGGGGAGGATTCAGACCAGGAGGAAGGCGGAGGGCTGCGATGCGGCCCCTCTTCCTCCTCCCCCCCCCCCCTCTCGCGTTTCCCTTGAAGGTCGGGGGCAGCTGCGGGCCGCTGCTCCCTGGGCCACCGCCCTATCTGGCTATTTGTTGTCTAAAACAGGCGCGAGACACAGAGGACAGGTGACGGCGAGGAGGGCGAGGATAATGATGGCGGCCGTCCTCGAGGCCTCGAGGTCTAAATCTACTGCATCCGTGCCAGACGTCCTCTTCCTTCTCCTCATCTTCCTCCACCTCCTCATCCGTCTCACTTACTACTCGCCTAGTCTCCCATCCTACGGGTCTCATAGCCTCCTATCTTGCTAGCCTCCCTCCTCGATATCGCCGCCGTATTCGCCACCATCGCCGTTGCCATCGCCACCATCACCGTCGTCATAGTTGGCCTCGCGATCGCCACCGCTATCCTCGTCGCATTCGCCACTAGCATCGACGCCACTTTCACAGTCATCGTCATCCATATCATGCGTGCCATCGTTATCGGCATCGGTATCGTCGGCGTTATCATGATCACCACTATCGTCATCGTCGTCGCCAGCATCGTCATCGTCACGAGTGTCGTCAAGATAAGCCTCGTCTTAAACGCCATCATCAGCAGTAGCATTGCCATCACCACCATCACCATGCATATGTTGGTCATCGTCATCTTAGCTAACTCCCTCGCCCCTCATCGTTCCCCCCTCCTCCCCTCCTCCTCCTATTTACCCCTACTTCCCTAAGATATCCCACCGAAGCGGGGGCCCTAAGAGTGGAATGCCTCGAGCGCGGCCTTGCGCTCCTTGTGCATGGCCCCCGTCTGGCTGGACAGGTAGGCCAAATTGAATGTCTCGATGGCCTGAATCGTCGCCGAGTCGGCCGCCTGGGATCGGAAAAGACAGAGGAAGGAGGAGAGGGAGGTGCCAAGTGGGAGCGGAAGGGGGAAGGACGAGGAAGACAAGGAGGGTGGAGACGAGGAGTTGACGGCGCAGGGCGAAAATGAAGAGAAAGAGGATGATGATGAGGAGGAGGAGGCGAAGAAGGAGTAGGAGCAGCAGGGGGAAGGAGGAGGACGACGAGGTGAGGGAGGAGGAGGAGGAGGCGAAGGAGGGGGGGGGGGAGGTGAAGGATGAGGAGGTGACGCGCATGCTTCCCCTCCTGGCCTCGACGCGCCCCTTGTGCATCAGGGGGGGCACGAGCACGTGGCCGAGCAGCAGCTGGACGTTCTTGCCGCCCACCGTCGCCGCCGCCGGCGGGAAAAAACCGGGGCGCGCACAGCATGCCATACGGGACATAGATCACATCACGGGCCTTCGTGCTCACAAAGTACGCGTCGCCCAGCACTCTCGCGCCCTCATCTGTCACGCAGAACTTCCGGAAATCGCCGAGTGCGACCCCGTTGGAGAGCACCGCCTGCGCTGGAACGATCATGAAACACACGTGGTCGCAGGTCGGCACTGCGAGGGCGGCGCGCCCTATCAGCGGCCACGCCGCGGGCCCGCACCTCAGGGAGTCGGCGCGGCACGAGCACAACCACGGCGTGAATGAGCCCGCGCTGAAGTCGACGAGGGCGTCGGCGAAGTTCTTCATGTCATATTCTGGCACTTCTGAGCTGGCGCGGCCGAGGCACCCGAGCCACTTTTCGCCCCTCTCATTGAACGCAGCCTCGTGCACACCCTTCTTGGCGATGACGAGGTCGCCCAACTTCTTCATGTAGCCCTGGACGTCCTGGTAGATCTCGTGGGCCTCGGAGTTCCACAGGCAGACCGTCGCGTCGTCGTAGCCCGCGTTGATGTTGATGGCCCCCTGCAAGATCATCGTTTTTTTGTTTGTTTTGCCCTTGCCGCTCTCACTGCTCGTGACCTGCATGGCCTCCTTCTCGGCCTCGCCACGGCTCGCGTAAAGCACTCTCGACAGGCCGTCGCTCAAGTTCTTGTCGTACGAGCCCTTGGTCAGCCTCTTGGCGACCTGCCCCCTCTTGTTGTAGTGCGTCATGTAGGCCGCCGAGTTCTGATGATTCGCCTTGGAGCTCACGAAACTGAGCCCCGCGATGTGACTCTGAACGAGTTTCTTCTGCCCGTCGAGCTCGTTCATTCGCGCATGCAGGAGAGCAACTATCTTGCAGAAATCGGCCTTAGTGCACTCCTTCTCGATCTTATCCGAATTGCTCGTCACGTCATGGCACGCCCCCTCGAAGAGCTCGATGAGCTCGGCCGTGGGCATCGTCAAATCCGCTTCCTGGCTGGCAGAGATGCCGTGGCTCGCCGACTTCAATTGCTTGATGTATCCGTTCGTCGGCTCCCTGAAGCCCTTCACCACGTGTTCAGACATTTGCATCCACATCTGCTTCAGCTGCATGAACTCAGCGGGCTCTAGCTTCTCCACCTCTGGAGCAGACGGCACGATGCGCTCCCGAGTCTGATCATCGATGCTCACGTTTGGCTTCATGCTGAACCTTGCCTTCTTGGCGCCTCTCTTGGACGTGCCCCCCCCCCCCCCCCCCCCCCCCTTGCTCATCTCGGACCTCTGTGAAAGCGCTGGCGAAGGCTGCCCGAGAGCGAGGGTCGCAGCATCCAACGTCCAAGGGGAACCAGCAGCTGAAGACGAGGTAGTCCACGACGATGGCTGAGAACCTTGATGCACGGCTGCCTGGCGTTCCGACCGAAGGGGGAGCATCCTTCCGCGACAGGCCGCTGCTTGCCGAGGTCCCCTTCCGCATGCAATTCGCCGCCTGCACCGTCTGCTTCATCGTGAGCCACCGCCTCTTGGACCGCAAACTCTCGTCCTCCAAGGCCTTCTCGACGACCGCCTCCCTGTCGACAGTGCCTTTGGACGACCTTGTCCGAGATATGTCCTTGACCTGGATCTCCTCTTCAATGACCTTCCCGTGAGTGTCCTTCTCGTCGAAGGCGCCCTTCTGCTCATTGTGTTTCTGGGTGAACTCCTCCTTTGAATCTGCGTCGCTCTTGCGGTTCCAGAAGCCGTTCCACGATTGGAATTGAATCAGCGACACCTCCATCATATCCTCGAGGCGCCTGCCCGAACTTTCACTCTCGACTTGCTATCTGGCGCCACCCGCGCCTGCATCTCCTTTCTCCAGGCTGGCTGATCTTCGATCAACTCCCTTTCGATGTCATCATGCACAGATTGTGGCGCATGACAAATATAATAGTTATGAGCGCGCCTCCCTGCCTGACACTTGCTGCGCAGCCACAATCC